AAAGTTCATTTCCTGTTACGGTCTACGATATTATCAATTATCGGATTATCGACGAAGATTATCGACAAGCACATTAAAATTTAACAATACTCATCATATTAAATTCAAGTATAACAGCTGTACTCTCATACAACGAGTGTGTATATATATATATATATAGTTCTTATCGCACTGTTTGAATATATAAAATAGATATAATTCGATTATCATTGGAAATTTCATCATAATTTTGCGACGGAAATATTTATCGGATTTCGTGAGCAATGCGTTTACGATTTTATAAACAATGCGGTTATCATTTTTTCATGACATTTTCAAATTTTTTAATTATGTAGCAGCATCAACCGTAAAAGCGGGAGAAACGATTCAACATCGATTTTTGCGATAAGCTATTAATGTGAATCGTGAATAAACCGTTCGCTGATTTAACTTCGCTCGCATTCGAGGTGGATATAATGGTAGTAACGTCTGACCGATTAATTAATCAGCGTAATCGATAAGATATCCAGGCCAGCAAATCTCCAATGTAAGAATAAAGTTGACTTTACGCGGATTTTGCACCGCCGCGGTAAGCAAGTATTATTGTTTTTGTTTCGCTTTTCTAATTAATACGATATCATCGCGAAATGCAGTCTTTAGTTCTCTCGAATCAATATCCGCATCTTGGATTAATGATGTTATATAATTAAAAAAATATATGATCTATTGGAATCTACAAAATCACAAACATTGGTTAAAATTAACTAGGATCTAAGCGAATTTTTTACTTTTAGAAAGAAATCTACAAAGGGAGAATTACTCAAGCTTTATTTTCCACTTTCATCACTTTTACGAAAATTTAGGATTCTATGACAAGTTTAACACTATTTAAATTTTCAAAGAGCCACATGCAGCACTCACAATCAAATATGTATTTAATGCCTCGGCTTGTCTGCGATATGACAAATAAAGAGTTCAATAATTTGCATGGTCGCGCCCGTAATGAAGAAAATCGTGACGTTAATTACGAGCGCTCGAGGTACGAGCGGATTGATCGGGAAATCAGCCAGCCGAGCGTGCGCCGTCGTTTTCATAAATATGTCGCGCGCATCGATAAACTGTATCTTATTTTTATATGCAATGTCCCGAAATAATAAAAACATCAATACCGTCGTGTGTCGCGCGATAAAAGTTTCTCCCGCCAGGTCGTCCGCGTCGCGCAAAGTTTCCTTTATCTCTTTTCTGTTGGTTATTCGATCGGCTGTTGCGCACAACACTTTGCACACTGACTCACCCGGAGGACATTTCTCAACATTAGCCATTGGGTTTAATTTCCATATGGTTGTTTGCCAATTAACGCACCTGTTCATTCGCGCTGCTCGTTAACGAACGCTTTGTTAACGCTTCTTTAGCCAATGTTTTATCGATGCATCACGATCCGAGATAAAACGCCGCGTCAGATTATCGCTACATTGTCATTCCTGCGTTCGTAAGTGTTACGTAACGAACGAGTTTGGATAGGAACACTCGTGCCGCGATATATGCAAAGCAAATTGAGCACCGAATTGCCGTTCTCGCGCTTTTTTCAGACAAACATACTATATGTGTTATATAGACATAATTTCACACGTGTGTAGGCATAGATTGTACATTGATATTCCAATTAAGATGTCAAATTGGTATTAAGTTCGATATGCCAGAGTTATTGACGACGACGGCGACTTATTGATGTGGTTGTGTAATAAATTTAATAAAATCAATGCCGTTATTTTTAGATAGATACTTAGAATAGATGGATAGGTAACAGTATTTGTTCGGAATTATCTTTTAGGTATGAGTTTTATGAATGAAGAAACGCTAACATATTTTACGAGATAAGTCAATATATGTATATCTTAAATAAATGGCTTATATCTTAAAAAGGTGAAACCGCAATCTTCATATTTTTCTACATCACGTCCGTTGACCTGTTTATTGCCTAGATTTCTTTTCCTTTCTTCTTTTTTTTTTACTTCACCGAGCATCTAAATAAAAGCGAGATAGGCGACAAACAACTTGTATGGCACCTCGCGTCGGCAAGTAAAATTTATCTTATCGCGCGATAGCTCGAGCCCGGATTGCACCGGATGACGTTCGCGCTCAAATGATGTTTGATATTGCATTCATTGATAGAATTGACTTCTAAAATGTATTAGCGCACGTGTGGTCTCCTTACCTGGAACGCCGCTACAGAGAAATCATCATCATTCATGGAAGGAATATTTGTACACATAACGCAAACACGATAATTCTCCCGTTCATGCGATTTATCGCTTTATCGGCAGTTTTTGAGAAGGAAAATACTAAATGTTGCAAGTATCGACGAGGACTGTTCGTTTTCAAGCGCGCATAAAGCGATACTTTTCCAGTCCGCCGTTTCTCGTCTTTTTTTCGTAACATCTGTGATTATCGAAGGATAAAATGGCTTATCTTTAGAAGTTTTGAATCTCATAAAGAATATATTTCGCAGTGTATTCCCACGATCTCAGACACTTTATTTTCCATTAATCAGCGTCCGTATCTTGACTCACTCAAGAAAGATACAAGCAAAATATATATAAATCGTATCAAGCTTATCGTATACCCGCAAACAGTCTACATCCGCTAGGTCATGTGTAAGATGTCTGATATGAATTGAAAATTCTCAATTGGCGGGCGCAGCGGTTATATAAAGTTACGCAAGGTTCACGCGCTTCGCGAAAAAAAAAAGCGAAGAGCGTCACAAATCGGTGTCGATAATGCCATTTCTGAATGAATCCATCCAGTTTCTCGCTCGTACTTGACGAACGTAACTTATCTCGCGATATTCTCGGAACTGCCCGCCGCCACCGCTCTCGCTGATTCGTTCTTCCTTCTCGCCGCTCGCTGCGTGGTCCGAATAGATTTACATGTCTGAAAGGGCCATTACACCGAGAAAACACGTCTGAAAGTCGTCTACTTTTTCCGCGGCGAAAAATTAAATAACAAATCGCACATCGTCGCTGTTGAAATGCCGCGATAGCGGCGAATTCCTCGCGAATGCTCTCTCGGTTTCCTTTGATTTGTACTTCTCGTTGCGATGAATATGAGTAATATGTCGCGCCGAAAGACAGATTAATACCTTTCGACCGTAAGTGCTACTCGGCAGAATCTGTGAAGCGTAATTAAGCGTAGCTGCAGTGCTAGAATTCTTAAGTTTTTCAGGCCGTTATCGCGCGAACTCCGCATAAACAGGATACCGCAGGTGAAAGGTCATCAGTCCTTCGCAAGGTGATGGTTTTCGGTCGTTGTGAGCGGAATATTTCCCCAAATGTGTATCTCGAGTTCAGGAAACGATGATCGAAAAATGCGTAAGCATGTTTGCGGCTGATCTGGAAATAGCACATTTTTTTCACGCGAGTGAAAAAATTTCATCATTGATCGCAATTCTGCAATTCTGCAATTCATATATTTAGCTGCGCGTGTTTATGGAATTTTTATTCCCGCGATAACCGATACTATCTGATGTTTACTTTCTGGGATGAAAAATTTGCGTAAAAATTCGCGGGGAAGGTCAGGGTCAATGCTGGCGAACAAACAGTGCGGCTCGCAAATTGTACACATCGGCATTCGGCCATCTTATCGCAGATAACCGCCCCGAGCTTTACGATTCTCAGTCGCATCTGACGGACACCGTCGTTTTAGACGACGACGACGACGGGTCTACTCGATCACGTATTATTGGCACGCGATGAATGAATAGATCTCCATTCAGCGTCGAATACCGATGACGAAAGAGGAAGAGATAGGCGAATATAGATAGACGAACGTGGAGGGAGAGAGAGAGAGAGAGAGATGCAGCGCGCGAGGGTGGGCGATCGTGCGAGGAGAGACGGCGGAATAGAACGTGACGGGACTCGCGCGCGATCTCTAGAGCTTTCTATTTATCTGCATACACGTGTTGCGCTCGCACCACTGATAACTCGATGAATAATTATCGTGTAATACAGAGACATCGTTGTCCCGCTTGGAATTTTATTCTGATTCACTGTTGATTTAAGCTTGTCCTTTTTTTTTCACGGATTAAATTATTTTTGTCGGATCGCGGCGATCTGAAATCAAAGAGCAAATATTTATTATGCTATATTTGTCTTCACTGCTACGCCGGGCGTCAGCATTTTACGTAAGCCTCCGTGTTTATGAAAGAGTGCAAGGGAGAGCTTTCACTTGTTTATTCCTTTCTTCGTTATTATCGTTACCGATTTTTTTAGTCGATTTTCCGAAACTATCGTAGCCGTTGCAGTTCGGGGAAAAAATTGGAGAGCGGCTGACTTTTCACATTTTCCCTTGTTTTTTTTTTTTTCAAGACCGGAAGAAAGTTTGAAAAATATTGAACAATTTAAATTTCTGCCCGTACGAGTCACGCGTTCATTGATTTCTTCGCCAGTGCTAGATCACTACACGCGCACTACACGCCACCGTTGCGTCATTCCGCCGCGACGTTTCATTCAACTTGAGGTCTTTCATACGAAGGTCAAACGAGTCGTGACTATCGCCAGTCAGGCACTCTCTCCATTCTTTTCCGCTCCAAACTGGGCCCCCCCCCCTCCCCCTCCCTTCCCTCTCTTTCCTTACCCTCGTCTTCCCCGGCGAGTAACACACGCCGCTTCTTCCTCCTCGTGCAGCCGACCATTGTTTCTCCAACTTGTTTCTCTTTGCTTGTTTCGACATATAACATTTCTTTTCTCTCTCTCTCTCTCTCTCTCTCTTTCCTCCAAAGTTCCGATAAACTTTGTTATTTTTGCATCGACAGATTATTTAGCGCGCTCTGAATTAATTTTAAATATAGACGCTAAGCTCGCACACGACCGACAAACATGTCCGTGACAGAAATATATTTGATTTCACCGTGAAAAGATATGCAACATCTATCGCGCCGCAGTTTTTTTACATAGATAAAAGCGGGCGTAGTGTGTCAGTTCGAGTTAACGATATATATATATATATTTTTTTTCCTTCGCCAGCGTGACACGCGAAGCATGGGCAGCTTTCTGGCAGCCAACAGCATTATCGATGGCAACGGTATGCTGACGGTGATGGCGAAGTTGATGAAACAAGAGCTGCCCTCCGACGCCGAAGAAGAGGGCTTGGTGCCGGCGCTCCCCGGCAGAATCACCTCGATGCAGAAGGTGCCCTCCCTCTCGGACCTTTCTGATCCGGAAAGCTCCTTAGGTGAGTCTTTTTCAATCTCAATGCTTGCCTTCTTGGCCGGACTCGAAACTCGCAAAAAGTGACTGGAAAAATATGCGTGACTTTAAATCTGTACTTTTCAATATTTGTCCGATTAGACGAGTACACTCGCTTGGCGGGCCACTTGTATTATATTTTCTTACGTCTTCGCACACGTGCGCTTAAAAATAAATTTAAACATATATGCATAAATGAGACAAATATATATGAAATTGCGATATTATTTGATCACATTTGATAACGATTGGAAATTATTTTAACGAGCAATGATAAAAAAATTACTCATTATTTAAATATAATACAAATTTATCGTCGTTTTAATCAAATTTACAAATTTGTACAACTCGCACCGCAAATATAAATATTTAAAAATTTTTCAAAGATGTATATTTCGTGATTCAATGGGACAGTTTTTTTTGCAATATAATAATTTGACTCGTATAATTCTGAGCCGTTGCATATTTTATCGTGCTGCTGGCAACAAGTACATGCCAATGGCGTGAGAAAATGCTACGAGACCGTTTGCCTAGACAGTGTAATAATCATCCAGTCTAATATTCCCATTAAACGGTCGCGACGGTCGTAGAATGATTTTGCCACGTTTAAAAGCTATTTGTCATCTAAAAGGCGCGATGCATATCGTATTATTTGATAAAAAGCGCCTTTATCTTAAGTTCTGATTCGGAAGTGGTAGATATTATAAAGTGCTTTCCTGTTTATTTATTTATATTTCTGCACGACGATGGCTAACGTAGTTCTTTGGAGTGATAAAAAGGGGCAAAGTGATATTAAACGAAGAATAGTGAAATCAGCTTTTTCGTCGTCTCTTGAAATACGATCAAGTGCGGTTCCGATACAGTGTTGTGTTAACGTCGAATCCCGACACTTAAAGGTACACATCCGATGACGCTTGCATAATACGAGCGCTAGGCTGCTCGCGAGCTACGTTCATACGTGTACAATTCGTTCAATTAGATCGCGCGAGTTGTACCGTTCCTCTTGCACGATGTCAAATCAAATAGGTAACAACTGCGACCTTTCTCGAATACTGCTTTCAAAGATACGCATTGATTTACGCCAACAAATACGATGCCTAACTTTGAAGGCTGCGTTTTTCTTCTTTCAAAATGCTTCGACAATTCCGATTTAATTCTTGCATTACTAACGTTATGATTCTAAGCACATGCGTATATTACAAACAGAAAGTTGAAAGTTTACATAAATAAAATCGTGTTGTATAAACGGTAATGAACGACATTTCTCGCAAAAGCTACAGTGTCACATCCTGTTCTTTTCATTATTTCAATTTCCTGAATAACGCGCGAGAAGTTAAACTTGTAATGAGGCAGAAAAGTGAATTTTGTTACGGTGAAAATCGGGATTTTCTAGGACGAATGTGTATAGCGTCGAGTGGCAGTGCGAGTCATCCTTGTTACTCGCGGCTCGTCGTGCGCGATCAAAATGTAGCGAGAATTTACGAATTGGATAATCAGCAGCATCCTCATTAAAGCCCCCCCACTGAACGCCCCCGCCTTCCATTCTCTTTCGGGCGCGTGTATGAGGCTACACGTACGCGTCGTGTCGCCCCCACCGATTTATTCGCTCTTATCAGACTCCGAGGGGGGTAATAAGCACATTTTTCAGTGATTCTATGCTTTTTTTTTTAACGACGGTCTGCGGCAAGCTGTGGACGTTCTTACAAATGTTTACTTAGATTGTTGCAGAATCGTCAGAAAAGCAAATAGATAATGAAACTATCTTGAAACATGAAACTAGGCTCGATAACAATCTGTATATTTATTTTATCAATATCTATTAATTTCAAAAATTGATAGATCGAGGAGAGGTTAAAAAAATATTTACAGAAAAAGAAACGGGGACACGTTTGAATCATTTTTAAATGTCTGTATTCCCATTTCAGCGTTTTCTATATTTTTTCTTTGATGCAAGTATGTAAATATTGCAACGTAAAAATATAAACGCTGAAAATATTCTTTACTCAAATCTATTTCTCATTTTTTTATGTCCTTTTTCGCACAACGATATTAAAAATGTTACAAAATATCTCAATTTTTCCAATTAGTTAATTTTTCTATTATTGCTCATTAAAGTGATTTTCAGTCCGTTGAGCTCAAGTAGAATCATTATTTTGTTAACGTGTCAAATTTTTCACATTTAATTTTATTCAAGCTCGTACATAAAATATATAAAAATATATATTCAAAAGTTTTGAAAGATATTGAATTCAATTTTATAATATTATTATTTATACGTCAAGTGTCGTAAAGAGTTTTTTATTTGAACTCTTTAACTGTGTTCGCCTCTCAAATGGAATTCAATGCTGTTTAACAATATTACAGTGTGTTTAAATGCCTATCTATTAGTCGAAAATGTATCCGACGCAATTAGCAGTTAGGACTTAAGTTGTACTGTAAATATAGACACGGAATTTTAATTGAGGATACACAGATTATGGCGTAATAACGAGCGTGTAATAACGCGTCGCGAGCGCATAAGTCACGCATAATTAACCGTTCGATTTATCGCGTGTCATTTAACTTTCGGCGCAAATATGAATCATTCACGATGTTGTTTATTGGCGAGAGATCCGCGGCGCAAATAATTGAACAGCTGAAGCCGCTCAAAATGAATTCGTCGCCACTCGCGTATAATTATTATTTGATCTGTATCTCGTGCGTGTTAATTTGTTCATTTTTAAGCACGAAATTCAGCACGAAAACCTTACATCGCGAACAATCTTTTGAATATTGAATCGATACATGATTATTATATAACCCGATGTCTAGCACTTTATTTTTTTGCAGCAATGACATGTAGATAAATCATTATTTGAAAAACAAAAAAACAACTTTACACATGTCTGTTGACTTGATTAGAACGTTTCTCGACACTGTCGCCTTTTATTTTTTCATCGAAAAGTTCGAAGGAACTTTCCGATCGACCCGATTAGAAAATATCGAAAGATCGATAGTCTACTGTTATCAAATATGTTAGCAATTGTCACGATTGTTCTATGAATTTCCCATTATTTACATGGCCATAATCTATGCTTCCCGCTGACTTTGTTCATAACAATCCTCAGCACTATTGTCAGTCGATCGAACGTCTGACTCCGTTTACAAGACGCTGCCACCGTTAACAGACGGTACCCCCAGAATGTTTTATGCAAATAGCCATTGTCTATCTTGACATTGACGCGATGGCGAGAGATTTGTTTTGCACTTCTTATGTGTCGTTGCACACCGTAGAACGTAACGCATCCGTGTCGCGAATGCAACGCTATGATAAGCTCTCTCTTTCTCTTTCTCTTTCTCTCCTTCTCGTGTGCTCGTAAAGATATGTCGCGTCTCATAAATATGAATTCGAATTCCGTCGCAAATGCTACGTGAGGAAAAAACATCGGGCCAAGGAACTTCGACGAAAGTTTAGTCACCGTTCGACCCTATTTTTAACAATATTTTAATTAAACCCCAAATATATTGATCGTGACGAGGAAATTTATTATCTTAGATACAATTGTTTTTAATTTAATTTATCTTAGAACTGATTTAATTTAATATTTTATCATCGACACAGTTTTTTAGTTTGTTAACTTTTCAATTATTTTTATTTATGGGACGATAAGACTATAGAATTTAATATAAGACTATAGAATTTAATATAAATATAATTTTAAGTTTTAAATTTAAAAATTTATATTTATATTTTGTTGGGAGGACATTTCAATTAATTAAACTTTAAAAGGTTAAATACATTAATTAGTGAAATTTTGATTATTAATTTTTAATTTAGAATTAATTACTTTAGGGATAACAGCGTAATATTTTTGGTGAGATCTTATTAATAAAAATGTTTGCGACCTCGATGTTAAATTAAGATTTAGTTTAAATGTAGATGTTTAAAATTTTAGTCTGTTCGACTATTAAAATCTTACATGATTTGAGTTTAGACCGATGTGATATAATCGTGAATTTCTTGGCTAAGAGATGAAAAATGAAAATCTTTCGCCGCGTCAGAAGGGACTGTCATTGTCAGTCTCGTGGATACGAGCCAACGTGTGTTTTCTATTTATTCCACAACCAAATCGACACCGGATGATCGAAGCTCGTTAAATTACGTGCCCCGACTTACCAAAAGGTCCCGCCTCGCAGCCGCGTGTGTCCTTATCTTTTTGCCTCGTGCCTCCATATGTTAATCGTAAATCAACGACACCACTATCTCTCACAGATTTACATAAATTCTCATACGCATGATGTATAAATAAACAAGACCGTGCGGATTTCATGTCGAAAATTTTTCAAACATTCGCGCGCGCGAATATTAAGGAAGCGTTAAGAGCGGAAATATGCCAAAATCACGCGACACATGTAAATCTTTTGAATTCTGTACACCGCCGTAATAACTCGCGCGTCAGCTTTCACGACTGCTATCATCCTAGCCAACTCATCAAATTCAATCAATAAACACGCAGTAAAATCTTGAGAGGGGAGGAGAGTGGAATCGACGAGTGTGAAGCCGTGACGTGCGAACCGTTCGGGCGTTGTCGAAAAAGGGAGGCGAGCGAGAAACAGAAAGACGAGAGAAATTGCCAGCGAAGCCCTGCACCTGCATGGGAATACACAGGGACGACGCAACGCGGCGAACGGGGGTGTGGGTTCTCCGCAGAGGAAAGAAAAGTCGCCGGCCGGCCGGCTAGTCGGTACACTGTGCATCATAAATGTCTCCGGGCTGCAAACGACCCGTAATATGCATATTTTTTCGAAAAGAATGGCCACAATTGAGATATTTGAGGGGCTCAGAGAAAAAGTCAAGTGCACTTTTTTAAATCCATATGTATAAATTAGAAAAAACTGAAGCTTTCACCGAATGATCTAAAAGTGAGTGCAAAAATGTTTGAGTTGAAATTAAAAGAAACTGTAGCACCTGTGGAAAACAGTGCTGCACGCAGTTGGAACAACTCT